ACGTTACGGCACGCTCTATAGCCCCAGGCTGTAGCGTGAGAGTGACAGCCTCGGAACGCGGGGCACGTAAAGTCGGTCCTTTGCGACCGCCTTTGGCGGTCCGCCGCGCAGGCTGCGTGATCGCCTTTGGGCTTCCACCGGGAGGGCATGCAGCTGCTGCAGCCTTCTTGGCAGCTTTGCGGGCCTTCTTGCGCCCTACGACTTTTGCCCAAGTCTCACTCTTGGACCCGGCAGAAGTGGGCTGGTCGCTTGGAGGAGCTCCCTCCGTGGACTTCCCCTTTTGAGGCCCAATTGTCGGCCGCTCCTCATTCCTCCGCGTGTCAGCCGCTAGAGGCGGACGGAGGGTTTCCGCTGGAAGACGCCGGGAAATAGCTTCCAGCCGAGCGTTTACCATGCTCCCACACTGGAGCATGCAGAGCCGGACAATGCGCTCGACCTCTTCATCAGTGCGAGGGATTGCCGGTTGCGATACGGGAGTTGGGGCCACTATAGGTGCGGCAACAGTGGGTGCGCATTGCTGCTGTTGCTCGCTTAGCGCAGCCACTTGTCGCCGAAGGTCTTCGATGTCATTTCGGAGGCGGCTATTTTCCTCCTGTAACTTCGCGACCTCGTCAGAGGCCGTTCTGTTAAGGAGGGTGCCAATCGCTTCCCTGATATCCGTGGCAGCCTCTTTTAAACCTCGTATGAACGTGCCCTTCAGGCTGCAGGACTTGGTGGCAACCTTTAGGGCTAGGTCCACCCCATCCAGAGCCAGCTGGCTCAAGGCCACCGCAGTTGGCTCTCCTCCTTCCGCCGCCAGAGCTGCTCGTCGCTCGCGAGCGCGTCGGGACATTTCTGACACTTCGTCAACCGCGACGGCTTTGCGTTGCTCTCTTTTGGCGGCGTTGAGCTCCGCCTTTGAGCTCCCCAGCGAAGCACCACTTTCACCGACCTCGCCAGGGTCGTCCGTAGTGACCCCCATGTCACTTTCTACTTCACTAGCTGCCGAGGTATTGGAACGTACGAGTCGTCCGTGCTTATCCCTTTGCGGCTGTGAATTCCTCGCCCCTCTCGATACCTGCCGCCCCCTCCTCGAAGTCGGTAACTTGGGAGCCGGCATGTTCTCTTCATCTGAAGACTGACATGCAGGACGTTTCTTAACAGAAGACGTCCTACGCGACCGTTTTTCGCCGCTTTCTACTTGCATTTGTTTTTGTGCGGGCGAGCTGAGTTCGCCTGCCCTCTCCTCCTCTTCAATTGGTGGTTTAATAATTTCTTTAGTACTTTCCATAAAAGTCCCACGAGTATGGGGGAAATAAACGGTCCGCCCAGGCAGTGCCCCCTGTACCTGGGTAAGTGTATATTTGTTTCCCAACTAGAGGGTCCACCGGTACCCTAGCTGGGGGTGCGCTCGCGACTGACACTACTCCTCAGCCATGCATACCCTCGCCGCGCACCAGAACTTGGTATTGGAGGAATTTTTTATAGAGGTTATCTTCCTCGCGGTCCAGGCGACCAAGCCAAGACCCTCGTCCCGTTCGGAGTCATAAGACACGATCTCTTCACGGATTACGATATCGACAGATGCAATCGGGAACAACGTGTGTCCCGATGCTGCTCGTTGGCAGGGTGAGTGCTCAACGAGCTCTGCCTTTGCCTCTCCGCCACGTTCTCTGCTGAATTCAGAGAGACGGGTGGAGGAGCGACCCCTCGGAAGCGCAGGGACAAAACCCGTCGCCTCCAGAACCCATACCGGGTTCGCCCGCCCTGTCCAGAAGTCTGCTACGGACAATAGTCACTCCAACCCTATCACCCCCGTTAGGGAGACTATCACCCGTACCCAGGGTGCACCACGGGGAGGTCTTCTGGCACCGCACCCCAAGGTGATATACCTACGTTAAGTTTATTTATTTCATACTAGCGAACCCGGCGAACTCCGTTTCGCCACCAGATAGCTTCGTTTTAGGTAACATTCTTTGCTATAAACCTCACGGAGCCCGAGATCTTTCCAACGAATGCAAAACCGTGGAAATCGGTTCGTGCGTTTTGTAGTTATAGCGTCAGGAAGGAAAACCCGACTTATTTTTATATAGTAGATTAGTCTAGTGGGGCACTTTTAAAGTTTTAAAAATCCAGCAAACTAAGTACAGTGTCGATCGATCTTCTAATGGAGCCATTTGCCCAATCGTTGTAAATTTAACCACTGCCAGCCAATTAGCGAGACAGGGGTATAAAATCAGATTATTCCAAGAAACCGTAGTAGATTTCTTGGAATACGTAGGTACAGCTAAAGAATGGGCCGGCTCGACCGGAGTGATACCCCGGCTTCACAGAAAACCGACGGCAAACAATGCCTGCGTTGTGTTTCGTCGTGTGAGTTAGGTTACCGGAGGCCCAATCAACCTCTCCATTCTCCCCAATACCTAAATCCCCACAATCCTCAAATTCCCAATTTTCAAAAGGCCGGTAACGCACTTGTAACACCTCTGGTGTTTCAGGTATCTATGCGCGACGCCGAATGCTTACCATCAGGTGATCCATCTATTTCTTTATCGGCTTACCTATCCCATAAAAAAAGATGAGAAAGTGGCCAATCGCCTATCTATTTATACCAATAAAAAAACCTTCGAGAAACGAGGGAACTCCTTCTTAAAACACCAGTAACGCACTTAAACGCTTCTAGAGTCCTTAACACGTTAAACGCCATGAGGGTCACCAATGACCGGCGTTAGCGGAGGATTTACCTTCAACAGTTTTTTATTGGCAGTCAAAGTCTTAAGCGATAGTGATCACCTACCACCAGGTATTAAGTCTGCTCGTTTGCTCCGAATTCTGAAAACAAAACCGCGTAAAATGAATATTCCTCTACTTTTGATATCAAACGTTGAAGGTTACAGTAGTTGGTGGAAGGTCTGGCAGATTTCCAATTTCCCCTCAAAGATTGGCAACGTGTCGTCGATTGGTTGAGTGTCAAGTTCCTTAGTTCTCGGTCGCGGTTAACTGCCTATCTGATGAATATCCTATCTGACAACTAGATGCAGATGTTAGAAAGGAAATTATGTGATATTGAGTGGTGATACATTATATTATTTAGATTGAGATAATATAATAAGTACGAGGTGGAAGTCTTTGGGGGAGGCCTAGGTAGATATGTTTAGTACTTCATGTCTATAGGCTTGATGATCGTTATGATAGATATTGTGCAAAGTTTGAAGTAATTTTTATAGTGCTCACTGATTTTTGACTAATTAACTACAGTAATGTAACAGTTGTTCAATATAGGTATATCTGTATTTTACAGGTTATGCCGGCTACTTGCTGTAAATACAGGACACACACTTCATATTACACTCACACACGGTACACTACTGCTTTATAGTAACAATTCACGTCAGTACATATACAAGTTAAGTGAATCATGGTCTGCACTCACGTCATTCGTTGCATTGCATTCATGATCGCTGGCGAATAGTGAAGCTGGCGGGACGCCATTACGTCACCCAGGGATGTGCTGAAAATCAGCGCTGCGACGCTAACCTCTCGAGGTTTAAGTCGTAGAAATTGCTGAGCATATCCTGTTTTTGCGCACGCATACATGACGCACAATATTGGGGCAAGGATAGCATCAAGTACCTATAATTGATGCGTTTTGTTTTATATAATTAAACTTTTATATAATAATATACTCATGCATGAAGTAAGTACTTAAGTAGGGTGTTTCTTGTCTATGGTCCACAGATAATGTTAGATATTAAGTATTCTATAATTTCAGTAAAGAATAAGTCTGTGGACCATGGACAAGACTTCACTTCATTTTATATTTTTAGCTTTTATTTTATTTAATTTTATTTTTGGTTATGTTATGTGTGTTTTGCGCAGAAATAAATGGTTTTTCTTTCTTTTTCTTTCTTTCTTTCAGTTGTACGTGCGATGATGACCCGAGCGTACAGCGCGTCGCGTTCCGCGCACGCCTCAAAGAGCCATAAGATCTCCACGCCATCCGTGGCCCAATAGGGCTGATGACGATTAGGAGCCGCGGAGAACCTAACGGGTTACCGAGGCTTCGGCTCGAAGTGCCGAGTCTGACACTCCCTCCCGCCTCACCCAGGCGGAAAGAGTCATTCGATGATATTTTCCCCTTAAAAAAAAAAATATGTGGGATAATATCAGAAAAAGAACTTCAACCTACTTTTACTATATCTCATTTACGATCACTACACTGACAGAGATAATATAATTGAGATAAATGAACAAATTCACAAAGTAATGAGCTAATAAAATTTATTCTCTAAAAAAATATTAAAAGTTTTAAATTACATCATATAATGTAACATCATATATCATTAATATGGTTTAAAAGATTGGTAAGCATATGCAAATGAGATCCGTAGGAAACAGTGGCAATTTGTGGTGTCGCAAAGCAGACGGTTTATATGATTATAAGTAGGAACACCCAGCGTTTTGACATCTACGGAAAGTCTTTGTGAGCCTTAAAATATTTGACAGTAGGAGCACTTCGTATGTACTTGATAATCATTATCATTACCCTATTTCCAGTTTACTATTGGGCTCAGGCCTCTTATAGCTCCACCTTATTCATTTTCATTATGTTCTATCTTTATCAATGTACAAAATCTGGTTAATTGAAGTACGCTATTTAAAACCCAACTTAATGCCCTATATCTCCAGAGGAAGATAAAGATACATAAAGATACATGCACATTTAAAAGGGCGAGTATATCCATATTTCTTATAATAAGTAGAATTGTACACAACACGATAAAATTACATTTTGTGTTGAAGTTGCAAAGGAAGCAATATAATTAGATAATCTTTATTTAGCGATGAAATGAGCAAACAACAAAAACATAGACCTTATAAAGTTAGATGTCTGTACTAGGACCAATATACAATATTTGTTCTAAGAGTGTTTTTGAACTTCTATTAAGTCATTGAAATTATTTAAATAAGCGACTTATATTCCTGACACGACTGAATCATACTCCAATTCGCATTCAAGACTTATTTGTAAACGTAATACATACATTGCTGCAACAGTTAATAAAATAGTAACATGTAGCACTAGCACTTGAATCTAAACAACAACACAGCACAGCATCCAACCCTCAATTCCCAAGTTATACGAAACAAGGGACTCCCTAAACATAAGGGCAAATATGCCCCAAGCCTCATCTGCTGAGGTTGGGCGGGCCCGCAGTTTCGGTCCGGACACCGCGGCGCGTCGACGCACGTTACTTCTATAACCGTCTTTCCCGCTTTACGAAACGCCATGGATCTGATCATTTAATCGGACAATGGAATACACGTCACAAATAGGTAAAGAATATTTTTTTATTCAGCAATTGTTTTATTGTGTTTCTAACGTAGTGTTGTGGGTAAACTAATTTTCGTTTGCAGTGGTAAGTCTTTTTTTGGTTTTGTTCTTTATTTGCCGCTAAGATCTTAGTGTTTCATGTCTATGTTAGGTCAGCCAAACATGTGTGCTTGTTTTGTTAGATACCATCATTTGATAGTATTTTTTTCATATTTTATTTTTATTTATTCTTGCGATGATAACATAATCTTTAACAGCTAATATTTTTCGTTCTTTATTACATTTGTACAGCTGCTGTGTATTCGCAGATTGTGTATTTTCGTGTACACAACACAGTTGCCACAATGACACTGATTTATGCCGGTTTTTTATCGTACACACAAAGCCATGAAAATTAAAACAAAAGAAAACAAAACCGCGGTAAATGAATAAACTTCAAACAAACGTATGTACATATGGGTTACGTGACTATTTATTAAAGTTAGAAGAAATAGATAAATCATAATAATAACTTATTCTTTTAACAATTTATGAATTCATTAATTAATTATGTATTATTGTTTTTTAACCGACTTCAAATACCTACCTACCGACTTTAAACCTTCTTCCTGAAGGTTTTCAACTTGACCTGTTTGTGTATATTTGATCGCATTATCTCCCGAATGGCTGAACTGATTTTGTTGCGGAATTGAGAAAAATGTTTGTTCGACTTAGAAGCAGTTGGTTGAAGTCAGTTTTTAAACGTAGTTTAGATAACTAATTAAATTTAAAATCAAAAAAATAGTCCGAAAACTGCAGTAAAAACAAAAAATGGTAAAGTAACATTTTAATTTTTAGTGTAAATAATATTTTAATGTACATATATGTATTAGGTTTTAATTTGTACTCTCTTTTTAACTCCGCCTCTTTAGTTATTTTAGCTTTTAGTATTTTAAAATTCAAAAAAGGTAATTTTAGAATTTCATTTCCTATATGACAAAAAAGAAATTAATAGTTTGTAACTAGGTTTAATATGAACCTGCAACCATTTTATTGATATTTATTTTGTACTTACTTAAATGCGTTTCTGATCTCATAAACAATTGGCCCAGTTAAGACGAAATTTTTACATGCGATAGATTAAATCCCTGGATAATATTGATTCATATATAATTAATCATTCATTTATAAACTGGTAGGTGAAATTGAGGTTATGGTTGAAAGAATATTATCATGAACAGCTTCTTGTAATGAGTTGGCCCGTAGTTCGGCAATGGACTACTAATATCTATATTATTAATGGTCCACTCATATGGCTTAGCTCAGGACCTCTTTTACCAAAGAGGGTTTCGCTATTATCTTCATAATTAGCAAGCTGGTTGGATATCGCTGTGACAAGCTTCAAGTTTATCACAGAGCGATTTGGTTTTTAAGGGGAGATAATCATCTAATGACTTCTCCCGCCTTGGGTAAGACGAGAGGGAGTGTCAGACTGTTGCTGACTACCACCCCATTCCTATTCCTGCTCTTCGAGTCGGAACTTAGGCAACCTTTTGAGTATTCCGCAGCTCAGCATAAGGATTTTTATTTTTTGTAGTATAAGCCGGTAAACGATTTGTTGGATCACCTGATGGTAAGCAATCGGCGCCGCCCATGAACACCAGAAACACCAAGGTGTTACAAGTACATTACCGGCCTTTTGGGAATTGGGAATTTGAGGATTTTGGAGGATTTGGGGATTCGGGAGACTAGGGAGGGGGTCATTGGGACGGTAACCATCCGGTAACCTCATTCACACTACGAAACACAACGAAAGCGTTGTTTCACGTCGGTTTTCTGTGAGGCCGTGGTATCACTCCGGTCGGGCCGGCCCATTCGTAAAGAAGCATGGCTCTCCCACACTTTAAAAATCAGAATCAGTCCTATTAGACCCCATCTGTGGTGGTTTGAGGCGCACGCATTACCCTGTTCCTACTCCTGCTTTTCGGGCCGGAGCCCCGGCAACCAGCTAAGTCTTCCGCAGCTCCGTATCGGGGATCAGCCCTACTGGGCCCCAATCACACAGCGCTGCTGTCCGGTCTCAGTAAAATGTGTAGTCACTAAATCATCTTATAATATACGATACCCATGTGAAGAATAGAGGTAGTGACAAACGTCTAAATTGTCGTCACCACATTGAATAACGATAAGAGGATAACATCGACTCATTCAAGTCACTTTAGTACGTTTTGTTTGTATATTTATTTATTGTGTATACGTGTATCGTATATAAGGTTAGACGGAGTTTAACTCAAGGAAAATCGATTGTTTTTATCATCTTACATCAGTGGAGGTATAATAAAAACTATTACCATTCATTACGATAGTTTCTTGTGAAAATATAGCTGTTAAGAGCGTTATTATGCTTGTTATTCGGTATGAAGTAGACGAGTGCATATCGTTTTCTGGTCATACATTTTGGATTTTTTATTTAATTACAGAAATAATAACTTTCGGCGATAATAATTATGTTGATTTAAATATCCCGGGACGTCACTTTTGTGCTCGGTTTATTCTCAAAAATGACGTAGCCAGCTCCCACTCCAAAACTTTGATTCATTTTATCCAAGTATTGTTTTCTTATACGACAAAATAAAGAACAAATACGTGTCTAATATTTTTTATTACTTAACTGATTGATTAACTATAATTAGATTTTTAATTTACATATCCTATCATCATCTCTATTGTAATTGCTTCGGAGACAAGGAATTAGATGAACTTAGCAATGTAGCTACTAGCTGGACCATTTCTTGCCTATTCCGGGCCCTGGGTTTAACCTCTAAATGCGTATTAGCAAATTTTTGTTTATAAAATGTCGATAATGGAAATTCTTATACTCGTAGTTAGCCTAGGTCTTACCGTCACATCCAGTTCTGAGTAATAATAACTACATTTATCTAACACAACAATAATTTTATCAGTAACAAATCTATACTAATATTATAAAGCTGAAGTTTGTTGTTTGTTTGTTTAAACGCGCTAATCTCCGAAACTACTGATTCGAATTGAATAATTATTTTTATGTTGGATAGTCCATTTATCGAGGAAGGCTATAGGCTATGAAAGTCGCGGAGAACCTAACGGGTAACCGGAGCTCCGGCTCGACGTGCAGGAGAAGGAACGGAGTGGTTTTTAGTCAGTAAGAGTCTGACACTCCCTCCCGCCTCACCCAGGCGGGAGCAGTCATTCGATGATTTTCCCCCCTTAAAAAAATAGGCTATAAAACATCTCGCTACTAATAATAGGAGCCAAGCAGAGCGGGTGAAACCGCGAAAGTAGCTAGTACTTGTATATAGAGTTAATGACTTCATTAACTCTTCCCTTCGTACACAAGCTACAAAAGAAGCGAGAGTTAACAAAATTTCAAATGAAACTTTACAAAAATAATTGGATTGCCCAAACTGAATAAACGTTTGTATTCAGAGAGTAACTTTAAGTTATACGAGGTTGCGGGTAACGAGCAGAGTTGTAGATTAGTTAGACTTTACAATTGTACGTACGTACGTACGGTAATAAAGTTTGACAGTTTGTATTCCGTTCGTAACACAATCAAACTTTGTCGTAACACTGCGCTATTCATATAATATTTCCTCGCAATATTCACAGCTGTGGTTATTTTGATGAAGACTATTTTATTTATTTTTTAGTTTTATAAAAATCATTGTCCCACACTAGGATTTTCTCCTGTGTCGGGTGCCTCTTGCACGGAGAAGGTTTTATAATCACCGAAATTGCTCAGTGCAAGTTCGCGATTTCAAACTTATCGAATTTGGATTAAGTAGGTTTCCTTCACCGATTGTCAGTAGTTTTTAAACAATCTAAGAAAGTATATACAACGCGGGATAAGTCAAATTAGTTTTTATACATTGCTTTGAAAAATAGATGTATTAAAAGTATATACTTTTATCAATCGATTGGCCTGGAAATAGTCAGGATTTAAGGATCTAAATAACGCGACACTGTTATTACGGACGACGCCACACAGAGCCGTCGGTTACCGTCGCGTCGAGCGGGACGGCGGCGGCGACGTGGTCCGTAATATCTAGTACATTACAGCTGCTCAGTGTCGCGTCACCGTCCCGTCCCGCCGCGCCGCGCCCGCTGTGTGTAGAGACCTTAAATAAATCACCTTTTCCGAGCAGACGGATCACCTGATGGCAAGCAATCGGCGTCGCCCATGGACACCTGAAACACCAGAGGCATTACAATTGCGTCACCGGCTTTTTGGGGATTAGGAGTTTGAGGATCGTTGGGGATTCGGGGATTGGGGAGATTGGGGAAGGGGAAGGTAATTTGTAAAAGTACCACAATATTATACAGACAAAACCATGATTCATAAACAGTATACACAGAAACACTCAACCCTAAAGCTTTAACTTAAAATTTATATTCTACGTTAAAATTTGTAGCTGCTCAACTGAAGTTCTTAAGTAGGACTTAGTTTATCAGGCGTCCGTCAGAATACTTTGACAGTTCGAGCTGAGTCTCAACTTGGAAAGTGTTATGTTTCGTTCAGCTTAAGGGCGAGGTTACAGGAACTTAAGCGGAGCGGAAAATTTACTTTTTGTTTGACGATGTTTTACTATGTAACAATAATCATTCCTCCTCTAGTCTACTGGACTGAGCCTCTTCTGCATACGACAACCGTTTGTACGACAAACAGACCATTTTCTTTCTATGTTTTCTGAATTACTTCTATACCCATTTATATTCGGAGTCGCGGAGAACCTAACGGGTTACCGTGGCTCCGGCTCGAAGCGCAGGAGAAGGAACGGGGTGGTTTTTAGTCAGTAAGAGTCTGACACTCCCTCTCGCCTCACACAGGTGAGAGCAGACATTCGATGACTTTCCCCCCTTAAAAAAAATTGCCATTGCCATGCCATATGAACAAAACTGTGAGCAAATGAAATCCGCTTGATCATCTCCACATCAATGAAAACGTAACCTAATCCTTTACTAAGAGTAGTTACTATAGAGACGG